CATGAGTATAAATATTTGTAAACACTTTTGGTCTACAGAAGTTATTTAGTAAATTCATTGAACATTAAACTTGTGTGAAGCCTTTTGCTTTCTTCACTTTCATGTCAGCAACAAAAAAAAACCTGGAAGATTTTTGTAAACAGACTGAATACTTTTAAAATAGCGTCAGAGGACAGTGGGTTTTAGTGTTCACTGTAGTATTACATGAACTAGTTAAAACATTACTTCAAGGCTTGTTCTTTATTTTTAAACAAACCCAAACAACCCAACAAACCCCCCCTAAACGTCCATTCCAAAAACTCCCAAATGAATGAGTAGGATGAATGAGATTCCTACTGCTAGTATTTTTACCAAGAAAGATGCAATGTACGGTTTGAAATTTATTCATGCTAAATTATGAAGAATAAAATGACTTAATAAGAAGTACAAGCTAATACAATCCTCTTGTACTTGACGAGCCTAATGTTGACAGACGAACTGTACTGGTACTGACAATGTTGAGCACAGTGCTTTATTATTAGTCTAATTTTCTTTATTCTAGACAAAACTGTGAGGGAAGATGATGGAAAGTTGACCTCTGGAAGAGAGGTGCCTAAGCTACTGGTAAACCAGATTACAGTAATTGGGAAGAGTTGATGGATACTGGGTTTGGGTCAAGGTAGAGGAGAAGCCCCATCAAAAAATGCTAGAGTTTCTGTAAGCTCAGCTCTTGCCCTTCTGTTTCACCAAAAATGTAAGAGCTTCTGCGCTGAACGTCCTGTCTGTGGGGCAGGTAGGGAGGAAATGGATATGGAAAGCAGACCCATCATGGAAAGTTCTTTTTTTTTTTATAAAAACCCACTGTCTGGTGATAGTAATTTATGGACTTAATCAAAGGTGCTTGCAACTTTACTGGACCTTTTTATAAATAGTGCTGGACCATCAGGGACTTGTACAAAGGGGATCAAAGAGGAATGTGGTTCTTGCCCTCCACAAGTACCTGTGGCAGTGAGAGTCCCTGTTTAGCACAACTGGGGATGTGGGGGGAAATATGTCCTTTCAGTGTGAGTGGGGTTTGTTTGTTTGTTTGTTTTTTCCCCTAAAGCTGGTGCTTGCTCCAATTGACTCCTTTGTGTTTTTGAGGAGTGAGGGATGATTGCTTGGTGGCTTCAGCCTGACACCTCTCCTACATCTGTTTTCCTTGTGTACCACCCATTCTGGGTGCTGGTCATCTTTACAGGCTGGCTATTTTAATTTTGATACCACTTTCGTCTTCTTGTGGAGAGTTTTTCAGGACTGTGTATGTGTTAGTCAAGACTTAACTCCACGCAGGTGGTTTCTTTAGTTTTCCGAATAGTCCTTAGAGCGTTTTTTTCAGCTAGGCAGGATCTTCCCTTTGAAGTCTCATCACCCTCACTGCCACCTTCACTCCCTTCTGCCTGGGTTAGGTGTTTTTTTTTTTTGTCCCTTAGTGGGATTTTTGTTGCATAAACACAGGAAGTGCGTGGTCGGGCACATTTTGCTGTCTGGGGTTAAGGGAGGTGGCTGCTGGGGCTGTCGTAGCTCTGCTCTTCCCATCCGTTTTGTTTCCTTGAAGATGCTGTCACGTATGACTGCTGGTCTGGTATTTCCCTAACCTGCTTTCATGAAAATGATTTGTTAGGAAGGAGCAGTAATGAAGGTCCTTGAAGTGGCTTAGGTCATCTTGGCAGAAGTGGGTAGGTCGATCAGGTGAAATTCATTGCTGGGGGTACAGTAATTTCTAGCAGCTAATCCAACCTGTCATTACAACCTGGGCACTCAAAGCATGTCTCTGATCCACTACAGAGGGTGGATCTTCTGTCCCTTTTAAAGTTTGTTTTATTTTTCAACTGGCTTCCTGTATTTTGTAAGGTAGCTAAATTATGTTTTACTTTTTCTTCTCCGACGCTCTTCCATGAACGTTTCTTTTCTCTTCTCTGAATTGTGAATGTGCTGATGATCTCAAATGTGCCCGGCTCCCTGTGAAGGTGACAGTGGTGCCTCTGCTGTCCCTTGTCGTCTTGGTCGTGTGGTGATGAGAAATAGTTTTACGTAACTTTGTCACTGTGATGGTGCAAGTGTAACCCTGCTTGTGCATCACCCTCAGCTTCTCTGTTATACTGGATGGCCTCTGTAGGTTTCTCTCACCCTAAATTGTTCTGCATTTCTTAGTGTAAACTTAATTAATTTGAATAACGTTGTGACACCAGCACAAGTATTTACTTTCTCTGACTAATGCAGACAAGTATTTTTGGGTGGGATTATGTTTTATTGCTCTAGCCATATGGAAAATTGACTTTCTTTATATAAAATCAATATGAAATGTTGCTTTTTCGGAAATCTTGAATGAAGAAAATGAAGCATTGTAGATATTTTTGAACAGTATCTCTTCATTTCCTGAAAAATTTAAGACCTGTCCCTACTAGAGCCCTAAATCAGACTGAGGGAGAAGTTGTAGTATGTGTCTGTCTGCCAAATGAGTTAAATCTTTCCGCTTTTGGGGTGATGTACTCTGGAGACAAAATAACATGAGCTAATTTAGAATATTAAGTCAACTTTTCATAAAGGAATATATATTGCCTATAACATGCTCAAGGTATTAGGCAAGGTTGCTTTCAGTGCAATAAGTTAGAATCTAATATTTTGAATTAATTAAAAAAAATTAAACCTTTTCCTTTAATTTCAGCAATTTGGAGAGTGCTGGCTCCTGGTGTTACAGGAGAGGTTTGCAGTTTGAGCTCTCTGCTGAACTCAGGAGAAGAAAGTGGGGATCTCTCTGCTAGTGCCAAAGAGCTCTGTGATTGTAAATTGAGTTTAAATTTGGTGTTATTGGTTAAGAAACTCCAAATGAATTTTATTGCCTTTATTGCTTCAATCAGATAAAGTATTATTTTAAACTATTGCTGTTTTCTTAACAGTACCTAAATCGCCATGAATGTGATACTTTTTGCCAGGTAGAGGAATACATAAATGGTTTTGGAATGAGGCAGTATTAGGTATTCTCATTTTATTTTCTTCAATTCTGCAGCAGTCGACTCTCAGCTACTGTGAATAGATTTTTGTGGATTGGAATTATTAATGATTCTTATTTTAGTTTAAATTAAGAAGACAGTTTTGCCCGAGTTCCTGGAAACTCGCCTGACTTACCATTTAAAGAAGAGCCTTAAGTCATCAGTTTCTACCTCTTGGATAAAATTACTAAGTGGTCAGTCTCAGTCAAATGTTTTGGACTGTATATGCAGTTTGATCTTTTTAAGCTGGTGCTGAAATAAAGTCTCTGCCTTTGCCTACCTCTGGCTAGTGAGCATTGTCCTCTTCCCTGGCTTGTATAAGCTGAATGTTCCACAACTACCATGTTTTCCTGGATGATCTTTCAACCAGGCTGGCTCCCAAGAAACTGAGACTAAGTTCATGGTTGTAAAAGCGGATAGAAGCAGGAGGAGGTTGAGGATGCTGCTTACAGCGGTGTCAGCTTCAGCACTTCTACATCAGCCATCGAAATCCTGCCTGATGGAAATTGTCTTCCTGTTTTAGCTCTTTAGTTCAATTTTGGTTTTATCGGAAACATAGCAGTTTACCTTAATTCCATGTTGTTTGGTTGGATTTTTTTCCAAGCTGCTTAAGTTTCTTAATTTTCTTAATATTTTTTTTTAGTTTCTTAATTTTTCAGGAAAAATACGAAAGCAGAACAATAAGCAAACTTCTCTGAATTGGTTGAAGTTGCTTCCACTCAATGCGTTTTTGGGGCTGGTCAGAGGAAAAATCTTCATCCTTGCTCCTTGAACAAATGAAACTGCTAATTTAATGGAGCTTTCTCTCTAGTTAAGGAGAATCACATCACTTACTCTGAACCCATATCTTTAGTTATAAAAGGACTTGTTTTAAGACTGCTTTGCTTGTAATCTCTCTTGTCCTGAAGTCATCCTGTGGGTGCAGTTTCCCGCTGTGCTTCAGCAGAGATAACTTTAGGCTGCTGCCAAAAAGGGCCAGAGCTTTGCGATGCCTCTTCCTGGCGTGCCATGGCCCTGGTGGTTGAGAGTCTGCAGTGAGGGCTGATAAACCAGCTGGTGTGGAAGAAACTCTGGTGCCAGGCTTGCCATCGTGTCAGCAAGCTGGAGAGTGGATGGGACTGTATTTCAGGAGCCAGGGAAAGGAGAGTGCTGCTGCTTTTCCATTTTAGCCTGCAGGTACTTTGCACTAAATCCAAGCTGAAATTTCCGAAGTTTCTTCTGTCTATATTAATGGCTCTCCCTAAGTGTTCATGATTCAGCCAACTGATTATTTCACAGCTTTCTTGTTCCTGATCCTTAAAATGCTTTTTTTTTTTAAACTCTTTGTCATCTTCCCCTACTCATTTTAAACTGGCCAAGTGTCCTTTTAAAACTGTGCCTCTAACTTGCATTCTTTTCTTTTAATTGGCTTAATAATACTTTTAAAGAGCAAGTAATTCCTAGACAGCTAGAACTTGTTATTGAGGCACTTTTTGTATTTCTGTGGATGTTGTCCTCAGTAATGGGTATGTTTTGAGAAGCAGCCTGAGCACAGAATGTAAAAATATGCCTCTGTCCTTCTATACTCTGATTTTCCACAGTTGGGCTGGACTTTATTTTTCCCATCACTTAAATGCTTTTATGGAGTTTGGCTTATTTAGTACTGTCATAAATCAATACATGCAAGATGAACTAGAATAAGCCTGCTTAAGGTAAATTATATTGCTGTTTGCACTTCTTTTAACATCTGAATGTTTCTATCAGGGAAGTTATTGAGCAAATTGCCAAGGGAAGTGCTAGATCCATCATTCCTTGATATGGTCAATCCCCTGGATGATGCCCGTAGCAGCGCATTCTTTAATCTTCCCTTTTGGCAGGTTTAGTGCTCATGTGTCCATGGGATGATGTGGTTCAAGACACTGGCCGGAGCTGAATCCAACTGGAAGAGAACCAAGTGGCTGATTTGGCAGCCAGTGAAACCGGCACACCCTGGAGCAGCACAAGGGAAGAGGCAGCAGTGTGGGAATGAGCAGGGAGAGAGCACTCGGGGTCACCCCTTCATCCTCAGGTTGTTGGATTAGGTGTAAGAAACTCTATTCTCTGTAAATGACTAAAGCAACTGTTCCTGAAAAGCAGAACCCATCTGTCTGGTTTCTTAAGTGGTTAAGTGAAGAATATTCTTTTGTTCAGACTTTTGAGCATAAGACTGCACAAATTTAGCTAGATTTGGAAGCCACCTGGGAGTGTCGGCAGTTTCAGATGATTATCTGAAGAGCTGGCCATGGGCTGTTTGTTTTAAACCTCAAATGTCCCATACAACACATCTTTTTCTGTTCATCTGAGTTAGTGCTGTTCCAAAGCCAGGTAAGATGAGAGGCTGTTCTGAAATTGGGGTGGTGGAAGTGCTGAGGGCAGTAACTCTTGTCGACATGTGGATAAAAGTGCGTATGTTAATCCCATTCTATCCTAGGTATGGTAGATAAGGAGACAGTGGATCCTCCAGAGAAGTGCAAACAGTGGAATATGGTCCTTTTATTAAGCATGGACTATTCCAAACTGTGCTGTTCTGCTCTTGAAAATTAAATACAGTGCTTTGATTGCCCGACTCAGACTATGTGTGGTACTGAAAATATTCCTTGACTTTCAGCACGGGGAAGGAGAGTTTGTCTGTAAAGTGGAAAGCTGTAGTTAAACCCATTACACTAACGTTTTCACATTATGAGAAGCCTAAGTATAACAGGATCTGCTTTTACTGCATACCAGTATCTCTGTAAAGAGGTGGTGCTGAGAAATAGGAAGCTCTCTTGGATGGAACCCTTTGCAGCTTGAGGAAAGCTTGAAGGCATTTCTTGTAGCTGTATGTGCTGTAAGGCTGTACGCGAATGAAGAACGTGGTTGTTCTCAAGTAAAAGCACAATTCAGAGTGCATAAAATTGTTTCCTCTAATTTTCATGTGTTTATCATCTTACTAGATGCTTGTTTCCTGGGAGGAGGGTTTGCTCTTTCAAGCTTAATCATAGAATCGTCTAGGTTGGAAGAGACCCTTGGGATCGTCGAGTCCAACCATCTACCCTACTCTACAAAGTCCTCCCCTACACCATGTCCCTTAGCACTGCATCTAAACGGCCCTTAAACACAGCCAGGGATGGTGACTCCACCCCCTCCCTGGGCAGCCTGTTCCAATGCCCTATGCTGCATCCTTACTGAGAATCATTTTTTATATATATATGTGGATTGTAATATGCATGGCTTCTAATGTGGAGATAGTAGAAGAAAACCTGCCCTGGTAGATAACTAGTATCAGGAAGCCTCTGCCTTGATGAATAGCAGATGAAATAAAGCTGTATATGAAACAAGATGTGCTCTCACTAGAATAAGACACAGCCTGCCATCTCCATGCAGCAAGAAGACCACGCTGATTTCCTATCAAGACAGAGTTGCTGGATCTTGCTGCACGCTGCTGTATTGTGCTTTTGCAGTTCTGAGCAGTGATTGAAGTGGTAAATCCTGACCTGTGTTTTTAAAAAGCTGAGGTTATATTACTGATTTTTCTTTTTTTTTTGTGTGTAGTTGGGTCACCAGGGTTGTGCCCGGTAATTGTGAAATGTGTGGGGACAGTCAAAAGGATTTCCTTGTGTTTCTGAAATCCATACTGCTACTTTAAGTGAACGTGTTGAGAAGGGTGGAGGTGAGGGTGAGCTTTCTATGAACTCACATTCAGGTGTGCTGTCTCTTGACCGCAGCAACTGGTATCCCTTGCCCCAGACAGCTTTTCATAACCTCCCGTAATGCCTCTGCTCCCTCCCCAAATTCTTCAAATACCAATCGTTCTGCGTTACTATCAATTAGCTGTGCAAGACACAGCACATGCTGTAGCTGCTTCCAAGCTGCATATTTGGTGATTATCCAACCATCAGGTTAGAAGTGGAGTGTTGGGACAGTCCTGGAGGCTTTTTCTCAGGGAGGACTGTGATTTGGTGCTCTGGTGCAGACTCTGCAAAAAAACCCCATAAATGTGCAGCTACACTTCTGGCACGTTTCAACCAAATGGGTGTACAGGGGAAGAATTATTGGGAGTGAAGCAGGAGGATGAGGCTGAAAGGGATGCTCATGTGAACCTGGCTTCTTCAAGTGCTCAAGATTATATTCAGGTACCTAAAAAAAAAATACTGTGTCTGTGTCTGGGTTTGCTTCTCTTTCCCCTCAAATGGAAGGGGATTCCAACAAGCCAGAGAGTTGAGTGTGGTTAGGAGGCTACTGCTTACAGTGCGCAAGAAGTTAGTCTAGCCTGGAGAAGAGACAGGGATACTCTTCTTGGAGGCATGGTGAAAAAATGGAAATCAATGGCTGTGAGTTACAACAATGATAATTCTTATTGAATATAACAGGAAGAAGTTAGTATGAGAATTGGGCACCAGAAAAGGTGCCCAGGGTGACTCTATCCTTTGAAGATTTTAAAAACTGAGCTGGACAACGCCTTGAGTGATCTGATTGGACTTTGAGGTTGGCCTCGCTCTGACCAGTTTGGAATAAACCACCTCCAGAGGTCCTTTAAAACCTTGCTTTTCCTGTGATTGGAAGTATTGCAAGCCATGCAGGTTTGAATCACAGTCTTAATAAGATAAATTTAGAAGGATTTATGCGTAAGTTATGAACAGTGTTGAAAGGACTTGATCTCCTAACTTTTAGAACATAATTGAACTAATGAAGCAGTTTTATCTCCTTTAAAACTGTCCGTGATTGAAGGGTGCCCTTGAGCACTTGCGGTTTTGACTCCTTTTGTAAAAATTCCTTGCGTAAGGCTTTCTCTCTGTGCATTTCAATCAACAGTTCGGTTTTTTGTATTGACTAAAATGTCCACACTAAAAAGTGAATTAACTTTATTAAGGCCATAATTAGCATGGAGGGTCCTGACAGCATGAAGCCTGATAGGAACACTTGTCCCTCTTTCAATACTAAGCATATTTTGTGGTTTTTGCAAGATCCCAATCTGGGACCGTTCAGGCTATTGCATCATGCCTGTTTTTAAAGATGAAGGGAACACTTTGTGCACGCTCCGAATGATGCTTTTAAGTTTCCATAAATTTATTTCAAAGCCAGATTCTTGCAATGTTTGCAGAAATACTGATTGTCATTCTGAATTAGATATGTGCCAAATTGGGGGCCATCTATGAAAGCGTTTCTGCATATTTCTTTTTTTTAAGAGTGTAAAAGGAGTTTTCTGTTGTTTTAAACCCAAAAGGCTTTCAGAGACTTTCTTGTTTTTGTAACTCATGAATTTGTAACCTGAGGTTATGATCATGCTGTCTGTTTTGGCTAGAAGAGTCCTGAAAAAAAATCTGCAGGAGGAGCTGAAGCACTTGTAGTAACATGGGGTTCTGAGATTGAAGATCTGCAGGAGGAGCTGAAGTTTTTGTAGTAACATGGGGTTCTGAGATTGAAGGAAGGAAACTTTTATAAAATTCAAATGCAATTTTTTTTGTGTGTGGTGACTTTATGAGAAGAACTCAAACTAAGATAAGCAACAGACTCTTCAGCTTCAAATTTATTTTTGTGAGCTAATTATCTAGTAGATTTATAAAATTCAAATGCAATTTTTTTATGTGTGGTGACTTCATAAAAAGAACTCAAGCTAAGATAAGCAACAGACTCTTCAGCTTTGAATTTATTTTTGTGAGCTAATTATCTAGTAGTAGTTTTAAGGGAAAGACTTATAAATATGGTGTTGACCCTGTGGTGGTTCCACTGTTTATTTGGTGCTTTGGGTTTGAACTAAATCTAAATGAGGTATGATTCTTTTGTTCTTCGGAGGTTTTTGGCATGGCTTTGTTATAGCAGCTTTTGTAATTTGGTGTTTTGCAACTCACCTTGAATGTTTTGCCTAACAGATGTTATAAAATTAACTTAAGGGAAGGAACAGAGGAAGAAGTGTAAATCTATATATGGAACGGTGTCTGAGTCATGAATTAGGAAAATGTGGTGTGCTTTTTTTTTTTAAAGTACATTCCCCTGTGCCCTTTAAGATCCCTGGGTTTCTCTGCATATTAAATTAATAGCAGTTTTCCACCTTTGCTTGTGAAAACATTTGCTGCCTTTCCTGCAAGTGCCACCTCTCATTTCCAGGCTGGTTCCTTGCAGTGAGCTCTACTGAGGCTGAAGGAAATAGCAAGTAGCACAAAACATCACTTTCTGGTTAACGTAACTTTCCAGGTGAAACATATTGACCTCTTCTGTCCTTACAAAGTAGCATCAAATACCAGTAGGTGGTAGAGATTTTATTCTAATACTTTGTTTCATGTCTTCTCTTGCTATGAAGGGAGGAGTCTGGCAAGTCCCACTCATAGAAGCGAGAGGGTGAAGGCAAATCAACAATTTTAGCAATTATTAATTTTGTGACTGAGTTTAAGGCAATTATTTCTGATACTATTGGAGAAGACATGATCGGATGCTTCTTCTAGAGCTGGTTCAACATACCTGCAGTGAGGAATGTATCACTAAAATGCTTTTTTCACAGCTGGCTGGTAATGATGGCTTATCTCTAGAATACAATTGTAGAATTACGAGGGTGTATGTGAAAATGATTTGCTTCAGGGAAGTGAAAATTGACAAACTTAATTTTTTCAGTGTGTTCTGTCATACGCAGTGGTAAGCACTAGAATGTACTCTAGAAAATCACAGGAGCCTGAAGTAGGATAATGAGGCGTGCATGGTTTGCATCTTCAATGCTTCAGGGCAGGCTGCTGGGCAGGATTTCTGCTCTATACTGTTTAATTTCCTTCACTAAGTATCTTGCTAATTGTACCAGAGCCAACTCAAGAAGCTGGTGTTTGAGACAGTTACTGTGAGAATGCAATAGGTTTCTTATTTGAAATAATTTGGGAGGAAAAGCGTATGTTTTTTACAGTTTTGAGTTGCTCATTTTTTGTAATTATTTCAGCCATTCTTACTGGGCTGTAAAATTAGACATAATCTTTTATTAAAAATGTGTGGTGAGTCATTTCTTGGAGAATGCACCGTTGACTTGCCCAATCTGAAAACACCAGGCGGATCCAGGGCAGCTTCCAGACG